TTCCCGTGGAGCATAGTACGGTTTGCAGTTAATAACCAAAGTCTCTAAGTGCATACTGCACGATTTATGTAAGATTCTAACGCCTCTACACCAACGGGTATTAACATAAAAGCAGATTCCACCTCCTTTTTGTTTGCCCGATGACGCTGATACAGCAGTGAGCCAGAGGCATGTGTGTATGAGAGAGAGAAAATGCCTGTCTCCCACTTTTTTTCAGTCTTTACCGAGTATCTAAAGATTGCGGGAAATTCCATTGAGGCAAGCATCCGAGGAGAATTATCTGGGGACTTTGAAAAACTGATGCTGGCTGTAGGTGAGCTGGTCCAATTTTGTAAGGGTTGTTTTTTGTTTTTGTTTTTTTTTTGAAGAAATGAAGCAGGAATGAAGGGACTCCAAAAGCCAGGATTAGTCAAACCAAATGTGGCCATGCATGTAAAATTATTATGTGCCTCAAAAATACCAGGTTCATCGTTTTAAAACGCTATATGCATCAAGAGGCGTTTTCCTCAATTCTCCTTTGATATGAATTTAACTTTGATTAAGATAAGGAAGATATAGAATGCCTGTAACTTGTTTCGATGAGGAAGATGTAGAAGATTTCCAAACATCCAACAACTTTATAGAATTTTTTGAGACAGAAGGGGGAGAAAGAGAGGGATTATACTTATAAAGCAAAAATTACAGCATACATGCTTAAAGGTAGTAGTTGTTGTATGCCCAGAGAGAAATTCAGGGTGTGCAGAATAAGACTTGGCAGTAACATCTGAGCTATGAGAATGTTACATTTTCTTTGGTGGTTGAGGATATGGAAACCATGCTGGAAGGAATGCAGTTAAGTGTCCAAGAGGAGGGAATGGCTGCCTGCAACTCTACTCAAGAATGCCACAGTGCAACATTGAACAGCATTTTTTTTTCATTTATGATGCCAAACAGCAGGTTTTGAAGAGCTTCAGGAAATGCATTTTGGCCCACAGACCTAACCCTCTCTCCTAACCCTCTCTCCACAGTGAAAAATATCAGGAGTACAGCTGAGTATTTTGCTGACAGATTGTTCAAAGCAATGAAGGTGAGTACTGCTCCAGGCATTCCAGAGAGTGGCTTTCCTCTCCTGCTGTATGAATCTTCTGTACATTTGGAGGACTGCTACTGACTACTCTAAATTTTAACTGTTTGGACTTTTCTAGTATCAAGATTAAAACATTGAATGGAAATTTAAGTTCACACTCACCTACTTAGTATGAACACTTAGCCAGTTTTAATAGTTATACCTTGTGATCTTTACTTTGATAGTTCATAAAAATGAGATGCTGGGCTTAACAAGTGTGCTTTGAATCTGTGTCAACTATACAGATTCTAAGTGTGCAGGATATTATACCACCACCTGCATTTGAAGCAGGGTTTTGGAGCTGTTGAATAAACTAAGTCTATTTAGACAGCCAGGTTTGTATCATAAATGTTATTTCAACAAGAAACAACTTGCCGTGATACTCACCAGTCACAATTCAATATATGTATAATGAAACTCATTGTGTAATCAGGATTGGTGGATTGGTACAAAGAGTGATACAAATAAATGTTTGATGTTTTAAAAAAGAATTGGCCATTCATTAGGCCATATTATGGGATCATACAAGAAAATTAAGAAAATGTATTTACAGGTTTTAACATGATCCATATTTTTAATGCAAGGCTTTTAATAATTTCTTAGCCAAACATTGGTTTTAGCCAATAGTATTAACAAACCATGTTTGGAGGAACATATTCAGAATAATGCATGCAATTAATAAAGAATAATAAAACATAATCAACTTATCATAAAATGAAGGTTAAACCAGTAAAATTGTGTCAGGTGTATAAATCAGTGATTACCATTATAGTTAATGACTTTAGAAAATGCTGCCTTATTCTCCTGCATATTGTAAATGATAAATCAGTTCCCTTCAGTGGGGTGTACAGTTCATGAGCAGTATTTCAAAGCAACATTTTGTCTAGGATGTACTATAAATTTGTCCATGGCTGAAAATAAGGCTGTCTCTAATAAGTTATGAGGTACAACTAGCATGCACTATTCATATTATATCTGGCATTTCAAAAAATAATAAATACAGCTGATAGATGAACTGTTATAGAAGTCGCATGTTGAAAGAAGATGAAAAATCATTTGAAGGAGTGTTGAGATGCAGATAGTGATTGGGAATGGCCTCCCACATTGAATTCTAGCATCTTCCGTAAGGTGCTGTATTCGATAAGGGTTTCGAGCACCCCGTGTCTCTGGGATTTTTGTGACCTTAGCTGATTCATTCTAGGGCTTTGGGACAAGGGACAACACACTGATTCGCATCATGGTGTCACGGAGTGAGATTGATATGTTGGATATTCGGGAGATATTCAGGACTAAATATGAGAAATCTTTGCATCATATGATTGAGGTAAATACTGGGTATTTGCAGTGCAGAGGGTGTGTGAAATTTATCATAGCATTTTGCTTGTATTTATAATGTACTGAATATTATTGACTGGGAATCTAGTGCTTCTGAAGGTATCTGGTATCTCCCTCTCCCTCTTGTTTTCATGCCATGCTTGGAAAAGGTAATCAGCACAGGGAGTGATTCAGGTAACTTTAGAGAGAGATGATTGGGTTAAATTTTCATTTCTGAGAGTGTAGATTAATCTTTGTGGCATGCATTTAGATAACATAACTTACACCTTGCAGATGACTTTGTACTTGTAATTGTGAAGGCCTGAGTTTTTCTTTCTCCCTTTTGCAGAGTGACACATCAGGTGATTACAAAAAAGCACTGCTGAAACTATGTGGTGGAGATGATGAGTAAGTCCTATTCTGAAGTATCCTTTTTGGGGCGGGGCAGGGTGGAGGGGGCAAAGCAGGACAGGAATGCTTTTTAATGGTTCTCAGTTGCTGAAACTCTTTTTGGACTTGTGTCTCTAAAAATAATATTTCCCAAGTGGAATATGAATGGTTTTTTTTCTTGCAGAGCTAGTTTCTATCATAGCAAATAACCTCCCCCAAAATTTCAGAAGTTTTTCTGGAAAGTGAGGGTTTTCATCTGAGGATGGCCAATTGAAGCATCCTTGGACAACAGATCTTTCACCTCAGTTGTAGTTGGGAGGATGAATATGAGTTTGCATGGAAGGACTTCAAGCCTTTTAAAATGTTCACATTACAATCATGGAGGAAATCTATCCATGTGGTCATTAAGAGTTGACACTGACTTGATGGCACATAATCTACCATATTATAGTGTGTTTTTAATCATAATACCTCAGCCACAAAATGCAGTAAGAGCATATTGCTATGAGTTTTGAAATGCTCTGATCAGCAAACAACTGATTATTACCTTTCTCCATGATTAAGCCTCCCTATACTAGAACTAAACAGGTTCTAGTATAGTTCTCTCTCTTTCTCCATACCAGAACTTGATCAGTTGTGGGCATATACGCTGTTGCCTGTCTGCTACTGCCCAAATGCAGTAGTTGAACCTGTGAGATTTTATAGTGATACGCTTCACAACCTTACTGCATTTCAGATATATTGGATGCCAACTCTCATTGGCTGTGATAGCCCCAAATGTTAAGTGCTGTAGTCCAGGACACCTAGAAAGTGGTATATTGGCTGGGATGATGGTTTGGGCAAGTTGTGTGTGTCATAGTGCTGGTTGTGATGACCAGTGATTAACTGAGGCAGGAGAACAACCAGTGTAGAAAGCTCTCACACAGTATGGAAATCAGTGCAAAGGAAGAGTGAAGTGTCAGCAATATTAACACAATCTTTTAAAAAGATATTTTAAAAAGATCCTAGAATCACTTGCATTACCCTATCCATGTGTTGTTTTTGCAGTTCTCAAATTACACTGAAATAAAATTTTCAACTGAAGAAGTAGCCTTGCAGGGTACATTGAGACGAAGGGTACTTGCATTCATTCTCCTCCCACCTTTTCTCTTCATTCAAAGCCCAAAGCTATGTTGATGCTTCCTTCTTATTCAAAAGCAAGAGATTGGGCCTAATCAAGATTTTAGAGTTGGGCTAGCTTAGGCTTTTAATAATTTGTCTATGGTCCTAGTACAGATTAAGGAGGACTGCAGCTGTGTTTTGCAAAGAGAGAAAGAAAAAACTTCCCACCCTTTTGCTTCAGGAAGCGCAGCAACCACATAAACTAGCCTGCTTTCTACCATGCCTCTTATAAAAGCGTTCTAGGTTCTTACAGAAGAGATAGATAAATGATGTTGTTTGGGAATTTAGGTGGGGGAGAGTTGGAACAGTGTGACTGGCACCAGCCCATTTGCACAGGAACTGCATCTGTGTTTTAATGTGTCTCTGCAAATGTCATCCATCTTGTGTCTTTCCATCCCTCCCCTTCCAGTGCCGCAGGTGAGTTCTTTCCTGAAGCTGCGCAGGTGGCCTATCAGATGTGGGAACATAGTGCAGTGGCCAAAGTGGAGGTCAGAAGCCACCCTTCCCTTCCCCTGCCTGTGGCTTGCTGGCTCAAAACCACAGCTGCTTCACTCTATGCGCTGCTAATGCTGTCCAGCTAGACCTCTTGGTTATCCTAACTATTCAGCAGCTCTCCCTTTCAAACACTTTTTAAACATGCAACTTTAACCAGTAGGGGTTCATACAGTAGTTATAAAACTTATTTTTCCCTTCCCTGGTCTTCTGCATCCTTAGGAATTAACATTTGAAGATGTTAAGGTTATTCCCTAGTACTGATAGGATACCTTTACTGATGGTCAGACAAAAAAACTGTCCAGCAGGAGTGCTTTGTTGTAAGCGCCCATCCACGCACAGCAGAATCACTGCAGCTTCATAAATGATCTGTAATATGGATTTATGTTAAGAAAACAATCCGTAGTGCTCTGTTATAAAATCAGATTAGCAATAGATGGGTTTTCTTCTTTTGTTTGTTTTGCTGTGTGAGCTATTCAAAATACTAACAATTTAACCACTTTTAAAGGGTGAATTCACACATGCCACACATTAATTGATTGTTTTACCAAGTAAACCTGTTCCTTTCTCAGATTATTCTCCCATCATGGCATATTATCGCCTAATACAAGGAAACAGACAGACACAATGATCAGATTATGTCATCACTGGAATGGACTGTATGAATTCATCCTAGCCTTTTTGCATGTGAAACTGTTGGAGAGTCAGTCCTAAAGAAATCATGTATTTCTGAATTAATGTCTAGAAGATTGCTATGTGACCAGAAAAATGCATTGGGAACTGAAATATCTTTGAAAGAGACCTCCACATCTTGAGTCTGGGAGATGCATGGCCATGAAATTTATCCAGCTTCTCTCCAATTGTTTTATTATATTTTCTTTGTTTTAAATAAAATAGCAATTGTTAGGAGATGGGAGGTGCATTATTTGGACACCCCTCTGTTCCTCTCTTCCTTTAAAATAAATGATTTTAATCTAAACTTCTCTTACTGTTCTTCAGCTGAAAGGAACCATTCATCCAGCTGCCAATTTCGACGCTGATGGTGATGCAAAAGTGCTCCGGAAAGCCATGAAGGGGTTTGGTAAGTAAAGTTTTGAAATGGATTTTGCACTGATGCAGAGAAAGGAAAACCACTCTTCATGCAATTCAGTGGTAAAGTAATAACATTTATAGACTTGCAGGATAGGAAGCATTATTGCTTGGTCAGACTTCTTCCCAAGACAGTCTTTTCTAGCTGAATGCTTTTAAAGTGTAGGTAATTTTATAAACCTATTCCCCATCTCCAATCACACTGTGGGAATGGTGTAATCTGCACCTCCACCTTGCCATGTAGAACTCTGCTTCTAGGTTTTGTTCTATTAGGACTTGAACGTGATATTAAAAACAGTCTAAACCATTTCTCAGGTACCAGTTGGGCTGTGGCTTTCCTTCAAGCCATCTGCTTCATATAGATGATTGGGGCAAGCTGACGACTGAGCAAATCCTAGGTAGCCATGAATGAGCACGCTCCACTGTTGCGGTGACTGGCCAGCTCATTTCTCATTCACTGTGTGCCTTGATGTGCTTTATGTGTCCTAGTGATCTTTATGCTTGTAGAATTCAAGGAGCAAAGAGTCACTATGGTTCTGCCTAAAATAGTGCTGTAAGGGTGTGTTAAATTAAGGTGTCAGTTGTATGGCAAGGGTTATCCTTAGATTTGGAGAAATCTGCTCTATTATTTACAGAAGGTGTTCTGCATAGGATTTTGCAATTGACAAGACCAGTATTTAAAAAAATAGAGGATGATTTAAATAGTGCAAATCAGTAAAATGAATGTTATCAGGGTACTTTTTATTTATTCATACAAGTATTTATTGGTGGCTCATTTCAACAAGGGCTCAAGGCAGGGTTACAAACAGTGGAAACTTTAAAACAAAATTGCAAGTTATCTGACGAACCCAGACAGCCCTTGTACCATCAGCATCCATACACCTGCTCTCAACTAGACTGAGCAGCAAACAAGTAGGAGGGAATAAGCATATTTCTTCTGGGAGTTGGGTGGCATATAAATTTTAATAATGATAACAATAATATATTAGCACAGTTACAGATCAACACAGCAGAAAGAAAGAATGTTCTGACTGTCAATTAGGTAAAAGGTTTGCAGAGAGCATCTTTTGCCTGCAGCTCAGAGCTGAGTGTTTTTAGCAAATCTGCAATGAGATGGGCAGTGATGAATTTGAAATATAAATAAATAAATCTGTTGGTTGAGAACAGCCAAGGACAGCAGGCCTGTTTCTTTCAGATGAAGTCCAATAGTCTAGAGTTCATGGTCCAAAAGATCCCACTGAGGGGTCACAAACCACCGTTCCAGTTGCAGGGCAAGATGTCAGGAGGAACCAGGAATGAGAAACCAAGGAAATGGAAGTCAGTAAGTGGGAGAGGTGTTTCCAAATAACAAGGGGGGAGGTCTGGGAGCTGCTCTCACACAGCTGAAGTTCCTGGCTTTGCCTACTTAGAGCAGTTGAAGTCCTATCTCTCAAGGAGTTCTGCAGACTTCTGCTGCTCAGCCCTCTTTACCTAGCAGTGCATTTTAGTGCTTGACACTCTCCAAGGGTCAGGATCTGACTCCCTCTTGTCCAAGTCATTCTCAGATGGCTGACAGCTGTTAACTTCCCCAGCTATAGTCCCAAGTTCTGTCCTTCAGCCTCAGCATCAGAGGAGTCTGTAATAAGACTCTGCAGAACAAAAGCACATTTTTAAGCCTTCTTAAAAGCCAGGAAGTTGGGGGTGTTTTTAATCGTGGATGGAACATCCTTAGAGTATTGCAAAGAATGGGAGCTGTCACAGAAGAGGCACATCATTGGGTCCTGGCTGCCCTCCCTTTCCATCCTCTCTCAGTGATCACATAGAGTTGGTTGAGTCTGCTGGGAAGAATGATCCTGAATGTAACTGGATACTAAACCCTTTTGGGCTTTAAAGGTGATTATAAGCACTTTGAACTGGACCTGGAAACAAATGAGAAGACAATGCAATGCCTGCGGTGTACAGTGCTGAACCTGATGCTTTCAGTTAGCAGACGGGCAGCTGCATTTTGGATCAGATGAAGCTTTGAGTTGGTTCAAGGGAGTCCCATGTTGAGTGCATTACAGATCATTATTTTAGGAAAGACAGTATACAGTTACAGAGCTTATTGCTATGTCTGTTATGCCATTTAATTATGTTCGATACAGGGCTTATGATTGTGTTTGTATAATGCAAAAGGGAATATTCTTTTAAAATTAAATAAGCACAACATGAAAAAAGCACAAATACCGGACGGAAGCAGTTGCATCACCCGTAGGCCTGCTTGCTAATCTACAAAAGGTACATTTTGAGATATAGTTGGCACTCCTGAATCTTCATTCATGGAAGAAAAAGCTTCAAGTCTTTCAGAACAACCTAGTTACTCTTCTGGTTCTGTGGTTCTGGAAAAAGGAAGGTTCTAATGTTGCTAGGAGCACTCTTCGGACACAAGTCACCCAGGGAGAAAATGCTCCATAGAAACTGTACCAATGGAGATTCCTTGCATCATGTTGGTTACTGACTGTGACCAAATGATATTCTACTGCTGTCTCTGAGATCCAGTAAATGGCATTGTGTATCAAGAGTTCATCATAGTGAAAAGGAAGAATGCTCAAGAAAGAGATTTTCTGATACATTTGATAACCCTTGCTCTCTTAAGTAGTTGCTTAGTCTTGGTGCTCTGTCAGTAGCTCTTGCCATCTTGTTTAAGTTCAATGTAGCAGGAAGAAAATGAAGAATATATTCAAAATGATGGCTAGAAACAACTGAATTATTTCACAATTGATTTGATTTCTATTTGTGGTGCTTTTATACTGCTCAGTAAGAGGCGTTCCCTGGGCATTAATTCAAAATACCATAAAATATATGTATTTATTTATTGAGACTTGTTCACTTTCTGGAACTTAACAGACTCTAGGTGGCTTACAGATCTTAAAAAAATAAAACACAGTATAAAAATCAATTATTTTTATTCATTAAAATAGTAAAATCCCAAATCAAACCTCCCAAATTAGATAGTAAAATTAATAGACTAAGAGTTGTTTTGTATGGCCCTGCTGGTTATAATTAATTTCCAAAGGCCTTCTGGAAGAGCCAGGTTTCACCTGCCAGAAGGCCATGGGGGGGGGGGGTATCCTTGCTTCAGGGGGCAAACTATTCCAAAGGAAGGGAGCTGTTGCAAAGAACACCCACTGTCACAATCCTTCCTGCTGTATAACTACTACTTAATGAGATGTGGGCAACAGGATATTAGCTTGCAAAGTAATTTCTAGGTTAGAGATGGTGGCTTGCATTGAATATCATGAGCGTCTGTGGGGCTTTGGATGCACTAATGGTAATAGTTCATATGCAGAGGCATTTCAAGCAGGTTGGGTGTATTTCTGTCTGCTATTCCCAAATCTATTTTTAAAACAGACATTACAGTCTATAGCAGTGTTTCTCAACCTTGGCAACTTTAAGAAGTGTGGGCTTCAGCTCCCAGCATTCATCAGCCAGTGCTGGCTGGTGAATGCTGGGAGTTGAAGTCCACACATCTTAAAGTTGCCAAGGTTGAGAAGCACGGGTCTATAGGGCCATGCGATAACCATCAGAGCACACTGCATGCAAATCATTCCCCATAGGAATAGTTCAGAAATTTTCCACATGGTAACTAGAAGCAAGGTGATGTCCTGATGCTGTTGAGCAAATATCTTCATGCACTGATTTGATTTTTCCTTTGTTCCAAACTCTTGGTTGGGCCTAACTTAGTTTTTTTAGTCAGTTGTGCAGAGCTGTAACCAGGTTGGTTGAAACAGATGCTAAACATGGTATGTTTGTAAACAGTCATAAAATACCAGTAATGTTTAAAAAAAAAAAAAAAAGTCCTGGAGGAAGTAAACTGTTTGAGTGATTGATCTTAACTAAAGAGTGAATGCCCTCTCTCTCAACCCAGTGGTGTGCCTATTGAAACAATTTCCTTTTTGTTCCTCCATGGCATTATGTTACAGAGACACTTCCCTAGCTAAGTGCAAGAGTCAAGGCTAAATATTACTGAACAGGAAAAAACTGGTTGAGGATTTTCTCTCTCCTGGGTTTCAGGCACTGATGAAGATGCAATCATTGAGGTGGTCACACAGAGGAGTAATGACCAGAGGCAAGAAATCGTAAAAGCATACAAGTCTCATTATGGCCGGGTAATTAGCACGATCTCTTCTTTTGTATCTCCTCGTTCCCTTCCCCCCGACATCCAGTAATTCTGCTTTTTGCAGTAGCTGTTATAACTCTTATAGATTGTTTTTAAAAATAGCACCAAGCTTAAAGCAGGCAAAGAATTAAGATTATCCTTCCATTGGTTAGCTAAGTGCCTTCTAGATCTGCTGCATAACCATCCCAACTGCATCATTCCCAGCAACTGCCCTGGCTAACTCAAGACTATGGGGGATGTAGCTGAACGCATTTTAAAGTCTCTAGATTTAAGAATGCTGATATAAATATGTAAGGTGTGCTGGAGATCCATGTGCCAATCTTCTTTATTTTTTAAAAAGAAAACAAAAAATCTAGTTGCACAGGAGAGAGTAAAGAAGAGCATGGCTATACTACTTGGGAAAATTTGCAGAGCTTCCCCTAAAATCTCTCTGAAGCTTTTGCTTGCTTGTGCCCTAAAATTACTGGGATGCATGAGGCATTCAAGTTGGGAAAAGTATATTGGAAGAAAAAGCCATCCTTCCTCCTTGCTGGTTATCATGGACCAGTCTATTACTTATATCACATTCAATGTCTCTCTGTCTTTTTTTTTTTTTTAAAGGAGGCCATCTCTTGCCATCTTGCCCAAATGTGCCTGAATGCTTAATCTTCAGTTAATAGTTTTAGGCAGGAGATGAAAACGATGAGTTATGTATCCTCCTTGTGTCTGGCAAACCGGCCTATAAATATAGAACTGCATTGAGGAATACTGCGTGTAACTATTTGGGTGCTTTTAATTACAGATTACTTTTAATCTGTACTTTATGCAGATTCTGACTCTGGAGAAAGCCTCTTGACAAAGCAATAATTATTAAACTCTTATTATTAAGCTCTACCTGCATGTGGGACCAACGTACAGCTAGAGTCTGTTCTTAGGTCAAAGCATGCCTCTTCTATTTGCTGCCATTCTTCCTTCCTGCTCTAGTCAAGGGAAAAGGTTAACACTCCAGAATATTGCATACATTAAGAACACAGATCTGATGAGCAGGGAGAGTAATACGCAGCCCATTTGGAGTAGATGGACTTTAGTTTCCAGAAAGCCTCACTATTGGCCATGCTTGCTAGGACTGATGTGGGCTAGAATTAAACAAAAAACAACTGGATGGCCACAAGTGGCCAGTCCCGCCCCATCATATCATGTCAGAGCCTTTGTTCTTCTAACTCAGCATTGTCTTCCTGACTGGCATCAGTTCTTTGGAGTTTCCAATTTGTTTTCCTTCATGAGTGTCTCCTATGATAGGACCTTATGGCAGACCTGAAATCTGAAGTATCCGGACCCTTGGGGAAAGTTATTCTTGGACTGATGATGCCACCAGCCTTCTATGATGCAAAGCAACTGAAGAAAGCCATGGAGGTAGAGATTTCTTTTTAATATGGGATTTGAAGAACACCAAGGTAAATTTAACCCATAAGGAGAAGGAGAGTGGAAAAACTCCTTATTTTGCCTTTATCTCAGAGTAATTCCTTGAGAGAATGAGGGATATTTTCCTTACCAAAGGTTGCAGCTCAGGCTGATTGGCTCCTTCTTGCGCCAACCTTTTTTTCTTTTTCAGAAGCTTTCAGTTTACTTAATTGTTGGCATTCCCTAGAAATGTGGGCACTTAGTTACCCTGAATTTTTTTTTTGGTATTAACAGTGACTAAATGATCAAATATCATTGCAGGGGGCTGGAACTGATGAAAGTGTTCTCATTGAAATTTTGGCCACACGGAATAACAAAGAGATTCAAGCAATTAATGCAGCATATAAAGAAGGTAATGATTTTCTTGGATAATTGTCAAGGGAAAGATGGATGTATGAACACTAAGAAAACAGAAAAATATTTATCAGTTGCTTTATAAAATGCTTAAATATTGCCAGCATAGATTTATTTATTTATTTACTTACTTATTTATTCATTGGGGTTTATATATTTCTCTAGTCTAACAGGATATATTCATTTGTTTGAAAGAATACTGGAAAAGTTAAGGGCAATTTCAAATTTGTGATGCATCCAGGGAATCGGGCAAACTACTTAATTTGGAATTAATATACCTTACAAAAATATATGTGGATGATTTAATGAAACACTTTTGTTTTCTAGTTATTGGTGACATTATAGTGGTGGGAGTCTCCAAGACTTAAATGTGTATTTTCTAGTGTCTCAGTTAGGAAATCTGCATGTAGTTGACCTTGAACAGCTAAGCAGGGCCAGAGCTGTTTAGGACTTGGATGGGAGATCTTCAGAAAATCACAGGACTATAGACTGGAAAGTTGAACAAAGCTCCAGAGGAAACTGATAGCCACAACCAGCTCTCAAAGTGGTCTGTTTAATGTGTCGGCAGAGTGGGTACAAGGATACAAGTTAGTCAGAATAAAGTATTTCTGTGGGCTTCATTCCATGTGAATACCCTATTCACACACTAAGAATGGGAGTCAGTACTTTGATGGGTTTTTCTAGTATCTCATTAAATCTGCATGTAGCTTACCTTGAAGGACTAAGCAGGCCAGTCTTAGTTAATTCTTGAAGGGGAGACACCCAAAAACCTCAGGGCTATAGGCTAGAGTGAAAGTCAAAAAACATTCTTGCAACTCCGAACTATTTCTGTATTTTTACAAGAAAATGATATGGGTGCATCTTTTTAATCACCAGGAGTTGCATTTGAATCCAGAGTGTCTTTGATCATTTTCTTCTGCTTCTGTATTTTTCCTCCAGTCTATCATAAATCTTTGGAGGATGCGCTGAGTTCTGACACTTCAGGACATTTCAAAAGGATCCTGGTCTCTCTGGCACTGGTAAGAGCTTTTTCTCCATGATGTATCCCTAAAGCCTTTAGTTAAAGACAAGCATTTCCTATCTGATACTTCTGGATATCTAATGATCTGATTCAGTGGTTACAACTACCTTGAAAAGTTGCCATTCTCCACAGTTGAACCCTGAGCTACACATATTCACTTCCATTGATGCTGGGAGTGTAGTTCTGCAATAGCTGGCGTGTGGAGCTATCCGATCCAGCTGCAAAACTCTAGACCACTAGATGGCAGCACAGGAATACAGAAAACTCTAATTCTTTGTTGCCATCTAGTGGTCATCCAGTTTTTTAAAACCCAGATTTTGTAGCTCATAGCATTGCTCCAAGTATGTGGGCAATTAAACTAGTAGCTGCCAAGAAGGCGGTAGTGAATTCTTTAAAGATGTTAATTTGTGACCCACTCCTGCAGGCCTATTTTGCATCTTATTAATAGTAGTAGTAGTTTATTAATTGATTAGTCCTACGACCTTATCAATAAAATAAATTAAAATTAAGTACAATACATAGTCTAGTTCCAAAAAGGAAAATAGATAGGAGAAAATACAATGATAAAATACATATGTGATAATACAAGGAGTCAGTAATCAGATAAATGAATCTCCCTTACAGGAGATACAATAATTTATATAATCTTTTAGTGCTTGCCGCGGCCCTTGCCAAGCTTCTTTTGAAGTGATTTAACCACAACCCTGTGCTAGTAAAAACCACTCCTAGACAGTTGAAAAAATTCACTTGTTCAATAGACTCCCCATTTATCTGCCAGTTATATTTCTTGCTTTTTCTGCTGAATACCATCACTTTAGATTTGCTTTTATTGATGTTTAAAAAATTATGAGCACAGTAGGTATTCAGTTTTTGCAGCAGTCTTCTCAGGCCTATTTGGGAATGTGCCATTAGAACCATATCATCAGTATATAATAAAATATTAATAAATTTATCAAGGATCTTTGGCATATGAGTGTCTACATCATACAGGAATCCTGGTAAATCATTGACATACAGATTAAACAGCATTGGGGCTAGAATACAACCCTGTCTGACACCATTAAAGGTGGGTATACTCTTAGTTAAAGAGCCATTTACACCTGTACGAACTTTCAGATGGGTGTTTAAATAGAGGGCCTTAACCAAGAGTAAGAGTCTGGGTTCCATATTTAAGCTGGCCAATTTCTTCCACAGAATATTTCACCATTAAAGGTGGGTATACTCTTAGTTAAAGAGCCATTTACACCTGTACGAACTTTCAGATGGGTGTTTAAATAGAGGGCCTTAACCAAGAGTAAGAGTCTGGGTTCCATATTTAAGCTGGCCAATTTCTTCCACAGAATATTTCTATTTATTGAGTCAAAAGCCACGCTAAGATCTATAAATGCGGTAAACAGTTTCTTGCCATTTGTTAATTGCTTTGTTAGAAGATGGTATAAAGTAAAGCAATTGTCTGTTGTGGAGCACTCTGATCTAAATCCAGCTTGTTCCTCCACTAAGAGATTATTTTCCATAACCCAATCTTCTATTTTGCTCAACAGATGCTTCGCATACATTTTAGCCACAATTCCAGTAAGGCTTATTGGTCTATAATTTTTTGGGTCACCTTTATCTCCTTTTTTATATAGGGGAATTATAATGGCAACTTCCCATCCAACTGGAATACAACCAGTATTATGTATATAGGTAAACAGCCCCGCTAATAGTGGGGCCCACCAATCAATATGAGTCTTAAAAAGTTCTGGAGGTAAAACATCTTCTCCAGGTGCCTTTTTAGATTTTAAGGATCGAATAATAATTTTGATTTCTGATACAGATACAGGAGGCCATGGGGGAAGGTTTTCAAAGGATAAATTGGTGCTTTGTTTATACAAAAGGCCTAGATTAGGATTAGAAAATAAATTAGCATAATAATGCTCCCAGGTATCTTATTAATACTTCTCAATGTCTAAACGCAGGGTAGCCGTGCTGAAGGAGGAGAGGACTTTGCAAAGGCTCATGCCGATGCTCAGGTGAGTAATAACAATGTGTAGGAAGTGTTCTGTGGCCGCTGCCTTTCCTCCTTGATGTAGATTTGGAGATACTAAAGTTGATGATAGGCTAATGTCAGGTTGCATGGGTGCTTTGCCACAAAAGACACCCCCAGAGCAGAGAGAGGGGTAGAGAGCCTGTGACAAAGAAAGCTCCATTGGAGTTCTTGCCCTGAGCTAATTTATATAGAAACAGACTTGGTTCAGACATCATGCTAAGATATGATTTATTTAGACTCTGGTTTGTTAAGTAAGTCGCAGTTGTTTGGGTTAACACAACACTCTAAGCCTACACCAATGCCTTGGCATCAGGTGTGAAGCCAGTTGCATTGTGCAGGTAGCTCACGCATGTTAAATATTAATGTGGGTTTTAATTGAAGCCTTTTCATTTCCCACAGTGGCAACTCAGCATTTTTTGCAATCCCACGTTAAGGGACACTCATATTAAAAATAATTTTAAAATTGGTTATGTAACCCGTTTTTAATATATACCAGATTCAGGGAGGAGCACGAATGTTGATTTATAGGCCTCCTGAACTCTGGATAATGTGTAGTGATGCAGTTAGAACTGTTTCCATGAGAGGGAGGTCTAATATTTCTGCAGGCTTGTGCATGATTTTGAAAAAAGCGGTGCTTTGTTGCTGCTTCATCTACATAAGCAGGAAAAAGAGAGTTACAGAGGCTAGTAGCCCAAATATGAACTTTGTAGGCAGATTATAGGGAACCTAATGCTTTCTGTATTTATTCAACCCTAGAAACAAGCTGGGGATATAGACCTATAGATCAGCAGTCCAAATTCTCCCTGGTTTCACCATCTGCTGTAATTTTAGAATGGATGGCATATCCTCATGCTGAAGCTGGGAGTTAGGAAGTATTTTCTCAGGTCATTTTTCCTCATCTGAAAATTAATCTTTCTTGCACAAGTTCATTTTTGTTATCTTCCTCATTTCTTTGCTTTAAGAATTTTTCTGCCGATCTCTTCAATAGCTCGCTGTTCCTTTTCCTTTCCTGTGCTTCCCTTTCCTATTGAAAGCTGTTGGGATCAAAGACTTTAGCCTTTTTCAGATATTCAGGAAACTGTTGACAGTTTACTTTCTATCCCCACCTTCCCCATAGAGAAGCATGTCTCTTCTGTCTGTGACAAATCATCAAGTGGAAAATTAGGGTCCTCAGTCGAATGTTGGGGCTTTACAGATACAGGGAGTTTTCTGCTGCGAATGCTCACCTTCTGTATTTGGAGGACAATGCAAGGGACGTGGGCGTCCACTAAAGGGGAGGACGGTGCCCTCTCTGGATCAGCCATAATCCCAAGACGTCCAGCTTTCCTTGACTCTTCTAGAAGTTCAGATACTATACAAAATGTGTAGCTACCCTTCTGTCGAGTGGTGCTGTAATCCTTTGTTCCTAACTTCCTTGAGCAGCTGAGCCAATTTTTTTTCTGATTTGATTGCCCAAAATCTCACATTGCAAAACTTCCTTTCTTAAGACACTTGAACTTTCTGGTGCAGGCAGTTTCCCCATGGGCAAGACCCTCTAATAACGTCTGGCTCCTCCTTCCCCGTCCCAGTTGCAGTGCCCTGGGCTCTGGCAGCATCTTGCATTTCCTGGATTTTTGGGGTCCGGGGCTTTTGCAGGCAGAACTTACACAGAACTAAGGCAAGGAGTCGATGGCTTGCTACTTCCCTATTGGTCCGCTAGTGGGAGCACTGTTTGCATTGGTCATTCTTGCAACAGCAACCTATGGTGAGGATGCCCCAAGGATTTGGGGGCTACTTGAGGTTGGGGTGGTAGTTGTGTGTAGGTACCCCAGGATGGAACAGAAGGTCTGCAAGCGATTGATAGAGCCTCAGTTGTGTGTGCCAGAACTGCCAGGTGTAATCTCTGGCCAGTCCAGATAGGCCTGGGAAAAACTTCCCTCTCAGAGTGCTGCAGGCAGCGCTAAGTTAAACAGAGCGGTCTGTTGCTCTATTGGAAACAGCTTTCTGTGCTGCTATTTGAGAATGTGGGACCTCTTTTCCGAAAAAAAATTGTGAAGTTCACTAATGTATTTTTAAAAAGTAATGTTGCCAAAAATAAAAAATAAAAAAACCCACCCAATAATAACATACAGTAAAAATGGACAGGTATGTTATGCATGTTGCATATGCACATTATGTCATATATGTTGCAGCTTTTTCATTTCCCTCTCCCCTTTGCAAATATTCCTGGAATTGTCTGTGGGGCAGGGAGGGATCCCTGCATTTTTGGGATATCAACAGAATGCTCTCAGTTTCCTGAAATGTTGGAAAGAGGCTCTTATGTTGTAGGATCCTTGTAAAACACCAAATACATGAAATCAGAAAATATTAATTCAAACATCACTTCTGTGCCCCAGGCAGATACTCCTTTACAGAGTTCTATTTTTTTCAGTTTCCCTGCTGCTTTCAGGATCCTTTCTCCCTCTCCCTGCTTTTGCATTAACTGGAAAGATGGCATAACTTTTAGAAATAGAATATTTCCACTCACTGCTGAAAATAAAGTTGAGGGACTTGTGTGTGATTAGCCCTTTCATGTTGAAGAACTACACCTGACCAGAGTCTCTGAATGAGAAATGACAACTGGACTCCTTTTGCTGCCATAATTTGGCAGCCTGTATCTTAAGATCTTAGAATGCCCCAATTTATCTGTGAAATCCCTGGAGGGACCTGTGCCGCACCATCTCTGACCTTGTTGCCTTCCTCTCCCTCTCTCTCCCTTTCTTTATGTTGTCAGGTGGTTGCTGAAACCCTGGTGAGTGTCTGCCCTTTACTTTTCTTTGACATGTTCTGAATGTCTAAGACACCTTCCCCAACTACACTGCCTAAAAATTCTTGGAGGCCGTTTCAGCACATCTGCAAGGTGCAGATTGGGGAAGGGTGATCTACAAATACATTTGCTTTTCTTACATCAGGTTTTAGGGAATGGTAGAATTAATACATTGAGTGTAAAGTGTGGGTGAAGGTAGAGTTGAATCAGGTGAAGAATCTGTGATTCTCACCACAGAGAAAGTTGTTTGGACAACAAGGGACACATGGCAGAAAGCTTCAAGGTTGAGAAAAGAGCAATCAGAGGTCCATATATTACTTCTCTAATCTTATTGTGTCTGCTTGGGAATACCAAGCAGAAACAGAGAGATAAAGAAAGAAAGAGAGAGAGAGTGTGTTTTTCAGCTGTGCCTGGCAAGAAGGCCAACCACAGGTTTTCTCTCTAAAGTCTAGTTTATCTGAGGTCCCTTAACTAGGAATGCCAAAGATTTCAGAGATCCTTGAGGCTCTTTGAATGAAAAGCATGTGGCCTGTTTGGAATGGTAAAAAGGATCCACTTCCAATCTGGTTGCTGATGCTGTGCCTCTCTGGGCTCACACAATAATATTTTCCAAATCAATGTTAACTTGCTTCCCCACTTGCTGATATTGTGTTCTGTTGCCTGGGTTCATGTGCCTGCCCAGTCTGAAATGATTGAAAAAGTATGCGCAGATAGAATTACAAGTAGTCCTCACTTAATGACCACAATTGGGACCGGCAACTCCATTGCTAAGCAACACGGTCGTTAAGTGAAACATCCCATGACTGTGCCAGACTTGCGATGTCAGTTCCGCTGCAGTCACTAAGTGAATCACCCACAGTCATTAAGCATGACACCACATGACTGCAACTTATGACTTACTTCCGGCTTCTCCATTGACTTTGCTTATAAGAAGCCAGTTGGGAAGCTGGCAAATGGCGATCATGTGAAACACTTCATAAATGTGCACCGGTTACAAAGTGCCCAAGTGGTGACATTGCAACAGTTGTAATTTTGGGGACTGATTGTAAAACTACTTTTTCAGTGCCATTGTAAGTTCAAATAGTCACTAAACAGGGCAGTCATTAACCGAGGACTACCTGTATTATCCATTGTTGGCTTGTTTAGGCTTCATTTCCCAACTGCACAGCTGGAGGAGTAGAGAAAAAGAGCGCTATCTTGAACTTACTGCAGAGGAGCAAAAGGGCAGACATGAATAGTTTGGAACCAGGAACAGCCTGCTAAGTATGATATAAAGAGAATTAAAGTTATTGGGGATAATTTGTACTGATCCACTGAAATATGCTATTTATTTCTCTGACATAAGAATCCCATGGGGAAATGGATTCTCCCCTATTCTTTGTTATGTAAAAGATTGATTGATTGATTGATTGATTGATTGATTGATTGATTGATTGATTCAGAACTCTGCTCTACCATGCACAAAAATGGATTCATAAAATGATTTTCCTTATTTTTTACTTGATAAAAAAGCAGTTGAATGCTCAGTTGGGATTGGGGAGAAATTAGGGTGCATATCAGAGATGCTCAGTTTCTGAAAATCAAATTTGGCTCTGTCTATCTCTGTAATGGTCATTTGACATGAAAATTCTTACGGTCCCTTACTAGATCCATATGAATGACGGTATGTTATGCACTTATTGAGAAAGAATAAGACTTGGGGAGGGAAAGAATATATCATACAAGACTTCCATGGTGGACTTCTTGGGCTGATCAGCATTTTACAGTCCCTGTGCTGTACTAGCTGAGAATAAAATGCTGGTATCAAACAAACCAAATAGATTGGACAAATAGATTTGTAGTATCTTAACAATATTATGATCACCTGATGTGATTATTCCAAAACAGACGCTTGATATTCACTAGCTCCCATTCTTTGTTGTTCTCCTCCACCCCTTCATTCTCCATTGATTTTGCAGAAATTGTCCGATGTTTCTGGTGATGATTCAACATCCCTTGAGACACGCTTTCTGAGCATCTTGTGCACACAGAGCTATCCCCAACTCAGGAGAGGTAGGAAGGCAGTAGGGCTGCATTTTTGTTATATCTTGCTTTTATTTGTACAACTCAAAGCAGTGTACATCATGTTCCTGCCTCCTGTTTTCCCCACAACAACCATGTGACATCTTGGACTGGCCCAAAGTCACCCAGCCAGTTTTCATGCCTACAGGAGGACTAGAATTCACAGCCTCCCAGATTCTAGTCCAGCACCTTTAACCACTACCCCAAACGGGCTCTCCCAAAATGTTTTTATCTTTATAGTCATGACTAAGTACAAAGTAACTGATCTGATGTTTTCAGGCCATGTAGTAGTCTGAACTGATTGTGGTTTGGGTAGGGCTGCCAGAACTAGGCTGCAAAAAACCCAGACAACCACTGGATGCTAGTAGAGAGTTAAAGTTTCCTGTATCTTTTGTTGTTGTTGTCATCTAATGGCCATCTGGATTTTGCAGCCCAGATGTGGTAGCCCTGTGTTTGGGAAAAGGTTGGTGGCATCCTCTAAGGGCCCGGAAGGAAAGCGGGATGATGCAATCAACTTGCTAAGGAAAATAAAAATTTCTTCTTTTGCTTGAGAAAGCCAGCATTTTGGGACGTGAGAATTCAAGGGCAGGCAGTACATTTCATCAGCTGAGCCTTTCCTTGTAAATGCGAATGGTGTATTCTGTAGCTTGCCATGGTATCCCCTAAGTCAGTCTTGCATTTGAGATTTAGATTTCTTACATTCTGCCCTTGATCCTTGTAGTCTTCCAGGAGTTCATTAAGATGACAAATCATGATGTAGCCCACGCCATCAACAAACGGATGTCCGGAGATGTCCGGGATGCCTTTTTAGCTATTGGTGAGTGTGTGTTTTGCATGAGTATAATGAGAAGCATATGGTGTCTTTGCATATGGAATGCAGACTTTACTAAAACCTATCAGAGTGAAGTGGGTCTTGCAACCTTTTGAGAATTGAGCAATTTTCTGTGATTTGCATAGATGAAGCAAGCTGGCCTAAGTTTAAAAATGTGGAGTGTGGCATTTCACGGAAATGTGGCTATATTGCAAAATTGGATTAATGTATACGAGAGAATGCATATGCAGTATTTTATATAGCAGTGGGAAAAGAACTGATTGCCTTGGAGAAGATAGAGTGATGGATGGGTTGATTACTAGAGATTTTATACAGCCCAGTAATCAAAATGCAACATTCTTCTGTGCTTATTTTCAGCTTTTTCTATACTACCTCAAAGCTAGAAAGTTGACTGTTTTTGAAAGTAGCATTGACCCTACACATATTGACAAGTGTCATGCTTGATAGGAATACTTCATGTTGCCTAGCATGACTGTGACCATGCAAATTTCTTTCTAGCTCAGGCTTAGTTTCTGTGTATAAAACCCCAGGGCAACTGAACAATCCTTCAGGCGTCTTAGTTTCAGCCATTTGTGATGGGTGTTGGACTCTTTTAGCCCAGGTCTTTGTTCAGGCCTACTGTCTGGCCCTAGTATGGTCATACTTGGAGGCTCACCTGCCACCCTCTTCTGTTCACCAAGGCTTATAGAAACCAACTGCCTTGTACTGGGCTGGAGTGGGCCTTTTTCTGTGCCCTCTTCCTAGACAGGTACTGAAGAAGAACAGCAAGAGAAGCCATATCTGCCCATGCCAAAAAAACTAGGACATCTTGCAACTTCCTCATTCATATATTCTTGCAGATCAGGAAGTGGCTGCCCAACCATCCCTCTTATTGCATTTCACAGAATTGAGGGGGGAATTTTTTTAGTTATTTGTTCCTGTTGTTAACTGTTTGGGTTTTTTTTTAAATTATGAGGCATCAGCATGGCAATGAATATGCACCCTTCCGGCTGAAAATCTGGACTCAGAATTCTGTGCATTATGGATAGAAATCTGGGATGCAGTTTATTTATATTTATTTGTATTTCAAATTTCTCACCGCCCATCTCACTGCAGTTCAACTTGTGATAATTTTTTTTTAAAGAAAGAGAAAGATTACAATTCACATTACTTAATATTTATTAGGATGGCCTTATTATCATCAACAGTTCTTTTGTGAATGGCTGCTGTTGTTAATGTCATTACAGCCTGTATTTCTTGCTTCTCATTTTCTCCGCATTTCAAGGTTACAGCCCCTCATTCCCTCTGCCCCCCTCTCCCCAGTTGCAACCACAGCTGAAATTCAGGATAATACTTCATTCATTTGATGGTGTGGACACTAGTCTATGAAAGCCTAATAATAAATATTAAACCAACTCATAATAAAGTTGTGAGTTCTTAAAAAGCCGTTCGGTTTTTTCTGCAACAGACTCCTTTGAAAACTGCCCTCACCCCATCTGCCTGCCTGGTTGGAAGTTCAGTGCCACGATTTTACAAGGGCAGACTTTTCTCTCTCTCTCCCTTCCCTCTTGCATTTGCTAAATGAAAAACTAACTATACTATAACCAGATTTACCTAGAACTTTGCTGAGCAGGGGTGGCTGGGACAGAATATTTTGCATGCAGGTGACTTTTGGCTTTTCCTGGCAATATGTTCATGTTCTGCTCTCTTTCTCCCTCTTTCTCTGAAGTGCGGAGTGTTAAGAACAAGCAAGCTTTCTTTGCTGACAAGCTATACAAGTCCATGAAGGTAAAACAAAAATCCATTTGTTGTTGTCTCCCCAGGAAGGAAGGGTCAGTGTACTAACTAAACATTTTGGGGTTGTTGTTTTTTTTCTGGTTTTAAAGTGGCCAGAAAGGGCTTATTTATAGGGAGGTGATGCTATAAACAGAGACATTTTGGGAAGCTCCAATTAGCTTAAATGGCCTGTCCCTTATATAAAGAGAATTCCTTGAGAAAACTTTGCAAGAGGTCAGGTGCAGTCATGAGGGACACACTATGTTCAATTCTGAAACTCTGCTTTTTCAATCATCCCACTTTTAGAACTAGGATTCAGCAGACTAGCAGGAGCCAGAGACTACAGGGATAGGGACCCCACCCCCACAATGAAGGGAACTCAGACTTATCAATGCTGACACATACTTTGCAAAGCAGGGTGTGAAGCTTCCATTCAGTTGCCTGCTCTTTATAATTGTAGGAACAGAAGTACCCTGTCACTAGGTGATGGTTGTTGTTGCCATCTCTTCAAAATATTTTGCAGTAGTAATGTGAGCGGAAATCTACCACTTCCTGCCTCTCATGCACCTGGTGGGTTTTTAATCTCATCAGGGTGCTGGCACAGATGACCAAACTCTCATCAGGATCATTATTTCAAGGAGTGAAATTGATCTGCTCAACATCCGGCGTGAATTTTGGGAGATATATGACAAGTCTCTACATCACATGATTGAGGTAAAGAAAGTTTCGGGTTTCTTTGCCTATTTGAGTGCCATGAGTGTTTTGACCTTTATCATTCACCTCACTTTGTGTATGACTAATTGGCCTCATGGCAGCCTAGGTGGGTACTGAACTCGAGACTATGAAAAGAACCTCCATAAGCTGAAAAATGCAAAACAGATCAATCTATGGAGACAATAAGAGTGTGCCACACGTTCAGATGTCCACCGTAGAGACCTGTGTGTATGGAATAACAAGTACATGCTCTAAAGTGTATATCTGTTTGACCACTGATGCATCTATTAGCCAGCTGTATGAATAGCAGCTCTCAATCAGTGTGCTTGCCAGCTCTGACATCACCAGGCGCACACTCCCCTTTCCTGGACTGGTATGGAGTTTTGAATAGAAAGATCCAGTTCCTCAACCAGACTTCTTTAGGAATACAGGCGTACCTCAGAGATATTGCAGGTTTGGTTCCAGACCACTGCAATAAAGCAAATATCACAATAGAGTCACACTGATGTTTTGGTTTCCCAGTGCATATAAAAGTTAGGTTTACACTATACTGTAGTCTATTAAGTGTGCGATAGCTTGTCTATAAAAACAGTGTATATACCTTAATTACACATCAAAATGTGAGACAGAGACACAAAGTGAGCAAATGCTGTTTGAAAAACGGCACCGATAGACTTGCTCAACACAGGGTTACCACAAACCTCCTTAATATCTGCAAAGTGCAATAAAGCAAAGCACAATAAAATGAGGTATGCCTGTATGCTGTTGCAGAGGACATGCTTAGTATACCTTTCTAAAGAGATACTAAAGTAATGTTTTTCAAACTTGGCAACTTTAAGATGTGTGGACTTCAACTCCCAGAATTCCTCAGCCAGGATGGGAATTCTGCAGTTGAAATCCACACATCTTAAAGTTGCCAAGTTTGAAAAACACTGTGCTCAAGGAACCTCCTTTGATCTGGTCCCCTCAGTCTTGGTAATGCAGGATGGAGACAGTAATCCCACACACAAGGGAGGAGAAGGTTGAGTTTCGAGGATGCATAGTTTTAATGTAAGTTTAACAGCTATGGCTCTTAACGAATTTTGTTCATTTGGTGAGAGTGGTAAGGTTGAGTTCCCAGAAGAACTACAATTCTCATGGTGCTTTGGTACATTGCATTGCTTGTTAAAACAATTTAAGGTATGCACAGTGGGCACTCAGTTAGCAATTTCATTTACATTTTTGCATACTTGATGATGCGGACACATTTTCTGATCTTCATGTTGTCACTTTATTTTCCTTATTGCAGAAGGATACTTCAGGAGATTACTGCAAAGCACTGCTAGCTGTTTGTGGAGGAGAAGATTAAGCAGTCAGTGTGTGCTCTAGAAGCCTGTCTTATCTGAGCTGTTGTCCTCACTTATGTGCAACCTAGAAGTTACAGTTGCTTTGAAAACTTCGAGAATATTTTGGATTCACTGAGAGGTCTCACTTTGTGTTAGGGAAGATTAGCTATGTTATCACAGAAGAGCTTAATATTGCGAACAGCAAAGACTGCAGGGATAGCTCAGTCCAATGTGGGGTGGGGGGAACGGTCTAATTTTGTCAAACCTGACCAGTGGTTACCTGTTTAATGAAGCCATACCTTTGTAGGTATTGTGAACCAGAGAAATAAAATGTTGTATGTTGCCGGGCGTGCAGTTGTTCTTGTTTGTTTTGTTACAAGGGAAGCACATGATAAGAGAGTCTAAAATTTTGGGCATGCAAAAATGTTCTTGCCCATCCAACAGTTTATAAATATAGTCATGAGTGCTGACAGTAACACATGCAACTGCTTGACCCAACTCAAAATTAGAGATGAGCTTCAAAAAAAATGTGAAGGCAGAGCTGCTCTCTCCCTGCTTGTGAAAGCCTGCGAAGTTCAGCATAATAGAAATGAGATTTGCCTATTTGTTTCTTTATTAAACTTGCAGGAAAAACAAAATGTATACACCGTAAGGAACAGTAAAACAATCATGGAGCAGAATTAAGACAAATATACCATTAAAACATCCAGAGTAGGTTTTAAATACTTTAAGCATTTCTCATGTGAAACAAGAACAAGAACAAATGGCATCCATACACTACGGAAAAGCCTTATGGAAGAATTCAGTCTTCCCTTGATGTTTATTTCATCTGAATATAACAGTGCTTTTCACACTGAATTTCAAGAGTGCTGAGAAACCATCATGTCTCCTAGTTTTTTCTGTGTCTAAAGCTCACATCAGAAATAAAACCACCTACCTCCTTCAAGTCCCTCAATAAAAGATTGGCAACCATAAATAACAGCTATCTCCAAAGATATAGATACTTGGTGCCATATGTCCAGCATCCCATTAGAAGTGGTTTTGTGCACTGGCTTTATATGTGGTTTTTCATCCTTGCCCATTAAGATTCAGATTCTGTAAGGGGCTTCTTCAGGCTGTAAGGTCCTTTCATGCCAAGATGAGTCCATCCTATACGACTCTGCACAAAGTGATATATTTTGTGAATCTCCTTAACCTGCTGAGTACCCTTACACTGGCCTCACTGGCATTGCAATATTAATTCTTTGAATTAGGAGTTGATTGAATAGAAATTTTGGGGCAGCGTATGGGGAGGATTCTGATATGTGAATTGCCATGCTTAATTCTGTGTCCAAAAGTAGCAAATTCAAGGATTTCTTACAAATCCTAAAGGAAATGAGATCCTTCAATTAAATTCTTTTTATTACTTTTATATGACTGGATAATATAAGTAAATCAAATGATTGATGGTAACAGAGAACAAGTAATGTGCTGTATCATAAGCATTTGAAGACATCATAAATTCCTTGACCTCCCTGTTCCCAGAGTCTGGAAACATTCATTTTTATCTAGAGCCTCCAACTGTCAGACCTGCACAATCAGTACCAATTGTCCAAGTAGATGAACAGATATTTTGAAGAATATGGATCAGCAAATCTCATCAAATCCATGAAGTCACTGGGACTGGGGAAACTTGGAGTTGGTACAGTCAATGCTCCAAACTCATTTTCCCTACCTGAAAAATAGGTTTAATAACAACAGACCATCCTAGCGTGGTATGGTGATTGAAGTAAGGGCTGTGTATTTACATACACACCTGAGAAGAGTATTCTTCATAGTACCATTATGAGTAACCATCAGCTTTTGATACTTGAGTAACTCCAGCTTCTTCGCATAGGAAGCATGGAGAGATCAAGGTGTGTTTGTGATCCCATCCTCCTCTTTAGTGGTAAGGCAAGCAGGATGTTAATTATTAGAACAAGATACAGGAGTTTTTCTTTAGTTCTATCCTTAGTCTCAGTAATCAACTAACTCATCTGTCTACTGAGTTTATACAAAAATATCATCTCTGCCATAAATGTGAACGTTTGTCTCTTCCTCATGAAGATTTCCCCTCCAAAATAAAGGATAATAATCCATTCAAATCCTGTCTTATTTCTGGTTTGACCCAAAAGAAATAATACATAAGCCACGTGAGGGGTTAATGAGGAAGAGCCTTATTTGTAATAGTTTCCCGGTGAGACAATCACTAAACTAAAGCTGTATTTGTTCTGAGCAGGTTTCTAGGGTAACTTCCCATGCCTGGCTTCTTTATAAATCTTGACAAAGTGAACACCAGGTTGCTGGCTCACCAACTAAAGTATCTTCCCTCCCATCCCTGGATAAACAGGATACTGTATTGTCTCCTATGGTTTTGCTTGAGGTTGTGGGAGGGTGGCCTCTGAACACAGGTTGTCATCTGGAGTGGTGACTTATCATCTGTAACAGAACCATTTTGTATAATGAAAATCATCATGAATTTTGCCTAAAGTGGTTCTCTAGTAATTTCTAATCACTACATCCTTTTATGATAGAAGAACCATTGATGAAATAGCAAATGGAAGAATGGGCCATACAGCCTATAATCAAAATAACAGGTTGTTGTTGTTTAGTCGTTAAGTCGTGTCCGACTCTTCATGACCCCATGAACCATATTGCGCCAGGCCTTCCTGT